TTCATCAGTGTTTCTGAGTGAGTTTTTTCTTGCCTTATAAAAATCTAAGATTTAACTCAAATAAATCCAAGTTTTAAATAAAGCTTGATCCTTAAACTCAGACTGTGTTACCAAGACAACCCAGCAGCACCGAGCCTAACAGTCCTGTTTACTTTAAACTCTCTGTGAGCAGCAGAAGAGACGGGTGCATCAGCCTCCAACTCTGAGTGAGAGACCATGAAGTGCAGGCTAGACCTTGCGGGGCTGAAATTCTGACTCTAGTGGGGCCAGTTTGACACCCTTGGGCAAGACCCCGGCCTTCTCTTCCCCTAATGTTTAACACGGTGACTGGAGAGGAGAACACGAACAAGAACTAAATTAGGGGCTAAGGGTTTGGCTCAGTTGGCCAAATGCTTGCCTATCAGGCACTGGAGGACACACCTATAACCCTAGCATTTGGGAGGAGGACGCCAAGGGACCACAAGTTCAAGGATATCCTCAGCTACATGGTGAGTGGGATGCCAGCCTAGGCTACATGAGACTTTGAGGCAACACACGCACATACACACCCCACAACAAAAATAAATAAGCAAAAATGAAAGCTTGCCAGTGACATGGAGTGAGATGGTGGCAGTTGAGGGACCAGGAATGTGGCTAGTGTGAAGTGATGTCCAGCTGAGTGTATGTGGATGGTGTCACCAGCAAGGGTTTCTGCTGACTGGACATGGTCAGAGGAGAATAAGGTGTCCCAAGGAGCAGATCAGAGTGTGTGAGCTGAGAGACCGAACTCTGAACAACAAAGACTAAAGAAGCAATCAAACCAACAAGATAACCGGAAACCCCTGAGTGACATGAAGAGGAAAGTATGTAGGGTTCAAAGTCAGACATGAAGCTCATCCATCGGTCAGGCAGCCGAGTGTACATGCAATGTGCAAACGTGGGTTCTAGAAGAGAGGACAGTGCCTGTGCAGGTGCTGGTGTGCACACATGTGCACGCACGCACGCACGCGCGCACACACACACACACACACACACACACACACACAGAGAACACGGAAAAATATATACAAGCACAAGGCAAGCATACACACAACACAAATGCATGAGCACACACACACACACACACACACACACAATCCAATTTACAAAATCTTAACCCTTTTGAGTTTTTCTGGTTTTGTTGTTGCTAAGCAACTTCTGCATGTTTCCCTCATCCTGGGCAGCTTCCTCATCCTGAATCATCATAAGAACAGCCATCAACTAAGGTGTGATCGGAGGTGGGGCTTCAGAATTTAGACTAACATTAAAACAAAAAAGAATCTGGGCGTTGGTGGCACACGCCTTTAATCCCAGCACTCGGGAGGCAGAGGCAGGTGGATCTCTGTGAGTTTTAGACCAGCCTGGTCTACGAGAGCTAGTTCCAGGACAGCCTCCAAAAGCCACAGAGGAAACCCTGTCTTGAAAAAAAAAAAAAAACACAAAAAAAATAAAAACAAAAAACACATGTGACACAATGATACCTTGCTCCAAACACAATATTCTTATTTCCTTTTTGTGACTTGGGACTGTGAAATCCAAGCTGGCTTCAAACTATACAGCCCAAGGTGTTCTGGAATCTGCCAGTCTCCTGCCTTAGCCACCCGAGTACCAGGTGAATACCTCACCATGCCTGGTTCAAGTATCTCCATATTTGAAGTCGAGGCTAATCAGAAATGAAACATTCTCTTTGTTCTCATAGTGATCTAGGTCCTGGCTAAACATCTTGCTGAGAGTGGCTGCCATGACAAATGATTGGTGGAGACTTCACAATGTCAGGTGTGTGTATGTGCTTGCATTGGTGCACATGTATTTCACTGTAAAAACCAGAGAACAATGTCCTCATTCCTCAGGCACCAGCCATCTGGTTGAAATGGGGTCTCTCACAGCCTGTAGATCCCCAAGGAAGCGAGGCTGGCAGGCAGGGAGCCCCATCTGCCTGTCTCCCTAGCATTGGGATTACACATACACATGCCACCATGCCCAGATTCCTTTTGTGGGTTGTGGGAACTGAACTCAGGGCACCGGGCTTGTCAACAAGCATTGAACTATCTCCTCGGCTCCTACAATGTCAGGTTTTTGTGTTCTGTCACTCTCCATCCCTTTCATATATCAGTTTCAAAAAAAAAAGGGACTGAAGAGTTAGCTCAGAGGTTAAAACCACTTAACTCAAATTTGGTCTGAGCACCCAAATGCCAGCTCAAAACCCTCAGCTTCTCCAGTTCCGGATGATCAGATGCTGTCTTCAGGCATTGGTGGGCACCAGGCATACACATGGTACACAGACATGCATGCACGAAAGCAAAACACTCATCCACACACATAAAGGAAAAAGAAGGCAAGCTGCACACGCTCTCTGTACCTCCATGCCACTTTCCAATGCGGAAAGTACAAACAGGAACACTAGCAACAAATGCCTATTTCATCTTCATCTTTGTGACACAGGATATTCTTAACAGTGCAGTTGCCCACTTGATGCCCCCGGGCTCTTTCTCTGAGAATGCGCGCCTGTCAGGGTGGTGTTTTGGAGGGGCAGGGTATAGTGTGAGAAGATGCCAAGCTGCAGTGAAGCCCTGACCCACTTTTGATCAATGGCCAGTTAATTGTGCTTGTTTATAAAGATGCTAACAAAGAGCACGAGAAGAAAGCTATCTAAATGACTGGGTGACAGGGCTGAAGAGACAATGATTGTCCATGTCCACCCAACTGGGAGCACAGAAAGGAAGGATTTGAAAAAAAAAAAAAAAATCAGAGAATATCTTCAAAAACTGACTCTAGGATGGTCATTGTGCAAATGTTAAAACATCAGAGACAATGGGCAACAAGACCCATGATCCATCCTGTCCTCAAGGGAAAATCATGATATGAATGAGCCAGCCCTTCCTGGCAGGGTGGGGAGGCACTCTAGAAAACAAAGGATCTGAAGCCAGGATAAAGGACATTCTTTTTGTTGTTGTTGGGGTTATGTTTGCTTGTTTGTTTTTGAGACACTGTCACATGAAGCCCAGGCTGGCCTTGAATTTACTACATACCCAGGGATGACTTTGAACTCCTGATCATACTGGCTCTGGGATTACAAGTGTGCACCACTACACACCTGGTTTCTGTGGTCTAGAGCTAGAGCCCAAGGCTCTATGTACATGCCAGGCAAGCCCTCCCCTGCCTGAGCCACACCCCCAGGCTGACAGGCACTGATCTGACAGTGTAGCTCCAATGACAGGCTACGGTGGAGGTGCCCAGGTGTTGAGAGGAAAAGGGAGGGCTTCAAGAATGGACATGCATGGGGGAGGAGAGGGAAGAAGAAGAGGAGGAGGAGGAAGGAGATAATGAAGAAGAAAAACTGTTTCTAAGAATTTCTGGTACACCAGGTGGTGGTGGTGCACTAGGAGGCAGAGGCAGGGGGATCTCTGTGACTTTGAGACCAGCCTGGTCTACAGAGTGAGTGCTAGGATAGGCTCCAAAGCTACACAGAGAAACCAAAAAAAAAAAAAAAGGATTTCTGGTTACAACATACAAATGCCATATCCACCTATATGTGCCTAAATAACACCAATATGCTTCCTGTCTTTCCTCTTCTGTCTCTGCCCCTCCCACCCACCTCTTTTTTTCAGTTTTAAAAGGCAAGTCTCAAACTCATCATCCTTCTGCCTCAGCCTCCTGCTGGGAGATGGCAGTCCAGACACACATCCAGCCAATAAGTCTATTCTGATATCTCCCAATCAACTTCTCATATTACTGACCTTAGGAAAGTGCACTGAGTTCTAACAAGGAGCAGTAAGTGCTTTTAACTGCTGAGCCATCTCTCCAGTCCTACAATTAATTTCCAGAGGAAAGCTTCGTGAAGACAAGGAGGTGAGAAACACACATATCCTTTTGGTATGGTTTCTGAAGCCATGGGTGCTGTGGGACAGGGAGAGAGGCAGCGATGCCTGAGAGTTCTGTGCAATGACCACACCGCAGGAAATAAGCTTCCTCCAGGTCAGTCTCCAGGGACAACTCAGACCCAGGAAGGACAGAGTGCAGACCCCCCTCCTCGGGTTCAGAAAGAGACCTAGAGTTTTATCTTTAAAGAGCAAGCTGTGAACCAGGGTATGCCAGTACATGTCTGGAATCCCAGCATTTGGTGGGGAGCTGAGGAAGGAGGATGGAGTTCAACAGCAACTTGGCCTACAGAGTGAGGACTCATCAAATACACAACTAAAGCAAGCTGATGCAAACTTCAGTCTCAACACTCAGAAGACAGAGGCAGGCAGATTTCTTAGTTCAAGGCCAGTCTGGTCCACATAGTGAGTTCCAGGCAGCCAGAGCTGCATAAGAACTTGTCTCACTATGACAACTAGGGCCAACAAGATGGCTCAGCAGGTAACAAGCCTGGCAACCTGCATTTAAACCCCACAACCCATGTAAAGGTAGAACTGTCTTCACGAAGCTTTCCTCTGGAAATTAATTGTAGGACTGGAGAGATGGCTCAGCAGTTAAAAGCACTTACTGCTCTTGCAGAATCTGGGTTTGGTTCCAAGTACCCTAACTGCAGCTAGTAAGAGTGTATAATTCCAGTCGGGCGCTGGTGGCGCACACCTTTAATCCCAGCACTTGGGAGGCAGAGGCAGGCAGATCTCTGTGAGTTCAAGGCCAGCCTGGTCTAGAGAGAGAGCGAGTACCAGGATAGGCTCCAAAGCTACATAGAGAAACCTTGTCTCAAAAAACCAAAAAAAAAAAAAAAAAAAGAGTATGTAATTCCAATTCCAGGTTGTCTGACACCTTCTTCTGGTTTCTGTAGGTACTGCATGCACATTGTAAACAGACAGACATGCAAAAAACAAACAAACAAAAAAAAAACAAAAAAACACCCATACATAAAATAAAATTTTGGGGGGTGAGGGTGTTGGAGATAGGGTTTCTCTGTGGCTTTGGAGGCTGTCCTGGAATTAACTCTTGTAGACCAGGCTGGTCTTGAACTCACAGAGATCCTCCTGCTTCTGCCTCCAGAATGCTGGGATTAAAGGCATGTGCCACCACTGCCCAGGTAAAACAAATCATTTTTTAAAATTCACTGAATAAAAGAGTCACCCGAGAAAGCATAAAGGAGAAACAAATACCCTGGTTTTCAGAAAAACAGTGACTAGGGCTTATAAAGATTTGTGTTTTGTTTTGTTTGAAACAGGATCTCACTACATAGCCCTGGCCGGCCTGAAAGTCACTATATAGACAAGGCTGGCCTTGAACTCACAGAGCTCTGCCTGCCTCTGCCTTCCAAGTGCTGGGATGAAAGGCACATACCACACACCCAGCCTATAAATATAGTCATATAACAAAAGAGCTTTTATTGGTTTTCCTTACTGCTACCTATGGAAAGATATAGCAGTCTGTGGTGCTGGAGGAATAAAGACCACACAGATTTAACAAATGTCAATTGATCATTGACAGGTGTCATTCACTGTTCCATACAATTCAGAGGACAATCTATGCTAATGGCTGTACTTTCAGTTCTAAATGAGTTTGTTAGGTAGCTAGTAAGCCATAGTAAAAGGATACATAGCAAGATACAGATGGAAGAAGGGATAGGGGCTAACAGCATCCATCAGAAACTGACTAGGGAAGGAAAAGCAGCCAGCTTTTCGCCTCAAGAACACAGTGTTTCACTCTTGGGCTGTTCTGCTGTTCCCTTCCCTCCTCATCACAGAAATGTGTGGGGATGGATGGGGGTGTGCCCATGTACAGACAAAGAGCCTTGGAGAATACTTCAAGACAAACATGCTTGGGTCTGAAACATCAGGAGGGGGGACTTACAGCCCTGTGTCTAGAGTCAGCTTCTTAGTGAACTCAAACAATACAACTTACCAATGTGCACATTATGGTCATCCTACAAAACCATCATGCTACAAGACCACCCATCTGTCTACAGCGGGCTCTCAATCCTGCATTCAAGTTCAACAGCACAGATTCCTGGAATCCTGTGAGAAGCACACATTTGCTGGCCAGGGTGGCCCACATCTGTCATCCCAACACTCAGGAAGCTAAAGCACGGGGCTCATCAAGGCCAGTCTGAGTAACACAGCAAGACCCTCTTCTCAAAAACAGAAAGAAACAAAGAGGAACAAGAAGAGAAAGAATTGTACATTCATAGGCTCAACTCACTAGACTTCCTCTCTGGGAAGGAGCAGCAATCGGTGTTTGAGCAGCCCCAGATGGCTCTGACTCACAGTAGAGTCTGTAGCCAGAGCTCTGCAGTGAAGCCAAATATATTCAAATTTTCGGCAGAACTCAATTGGGAAACTAGAAAAGGAAGGGCAGAGTTTCTGCTGCATCACTGTGGGCAGCACTATTTTATTAAGAGCACCCCACTTCTTATGGGGCATTCGTTCAGAAATCCTTTCCCAGCCAACTGCACCTCATTGACCATATCTTTAAAATTAATGTTATTACTATTTTTCCCCCT